CTTTCCTACAAGCCAGAGAGGTTAGACACATGTGTTTATTCAGACATCAATAATGAAGTCTCCCATGCAACTGAAACCTAACAGAGACTGATGATAGCATGGATATCCCCTTGTATAGTTGGTCAGGAACACAGTGCCTTAGGACTGACTTAGAACAATGTTGTTTCCTTAATTAAGAAAAAAGCCCAACCCTTATCTCCATGAGAAAGGCTTTTTGATTACTCCTGGTGGCTCCACAGTGCCTGCATGTTCTCAGCATACAGCAGGATACTGACTGGGTACTTGGTGCCAGGATCTCAACAGATAGAAGCAGCCTAATGAAACCCTGATTTACCTCTTCGACATGCTTTTCTTCTTCTTCCATGTAGTCTTCATCATCATCACTTTCTGTGAAATCCTCCTCTTCCTCCTCCTTCTCCTCGCCTGTTTCCACGTTTTCCCACTCTGATGCTTCCTCCATCACTTTATGTTCCTCTATTGTCCCATTTGCCATACCAGCCGACTGGAAAATGATGCTGCTTGCTGGACTGGGGTATTTTAAAGCTGGGAAAAACATAGGAAATGTCTAAGTCACTGTTAGACAGAACCAGATGTAATGCCTATGCCCAAGAGGACAGCCATTTTAGGTCAGGGCTAGGAAAAAAGTCCTGCCCCCTCCCTTCCACAACACAGCACTCCCACATAAGCAAGTAGAACAAAGGACAATTCTCTGAGAATAGCTTTCCCTGCGGCATCTACAGAAGGCTGCTAGGAGCTGAAAGACTTGGATTTGAGTATAGATTGTACTGAATGTATTTTCTTGGCCTGATTAGCCAGTGTGTATGTGCTCTTCAACGTTCTTTTCCCGTTTCCTATTTAGGAGGATTAGGTCAGGTCAGCTGAGGAGAAACTAAGAGCTAGCAGGGGTAATTTGTGTTAAGACAACACACAGATGCACTGTTCTGTTGCATCAGAATCCATTTCTTTCTTAAAAGGTTCATATCCGCTGCATCTTGGTAAAGCTATCATATAAACTCCAGGAGCATTTCCATTCAAAACGTCCCATTAAAACTACTACTACCACTCTTAATGGTAGCAGTGCATTACAGTAAAAGTCCTACCTTGAAGAGTGTTGTTGTTTTCTTCTTCTAGGTTCTTTAAATTAAAGTACTCCTGCATTTCAGCGATTTTGGCTTCTGTAAGATATGGTGGCGGTCTCTGAGATCCTGGAGGTTGTGAGTGGTAGCTTATTTTAGCTCTGATCAAATAAAACATCAGCATTAAAAAACAACCAAAGATAACACAGATCACTGTATTTAAAAATAAACCCGAGCACAAACCTTTCAAACTCCTCAACCTAACTACTAGTTTATTATCATCTGTTTAACAGCAGTTAAATATCTATTTAAATTTGACTCTGAAGTTGTCAATAACAGTATTAAGTGGATAGCCCACTCCTGAGAGGAAAAAGGGCATACCTTGTCACCACAAATCATCTCCCTGTAAAATCATGAGCTGTAAAAGTGCTGAACCACTTGAGCAAGGGAAATAGTCACACTGAATTACTGATTCTGAATTACATTTATTCCTACCCTCAGAATATAGGAACGACTATAAATTTCCACAGAAAATTTGCCGTATCTTTCCTGTCTGTAGAAGAGGACTACATGGACTCAGTATTTGAGAGGAAGGCAAATTCCCCTAACAGTTATAGCAGAAGTCAGCAAACTGTCTATGGAGCAATGTGCAACATGCTTTGACTCTTTCCATGTATCCTTCGCTACTTTAGAAAGTTATCCATGGATGGCAATCTCTAAATCTGTTAGCCAAAGTAAAATGTGAGAAAGATGGGGGCGGGGGCGGGGGGGGAAGCAGCCTCTCCTTTCTAAGTACTTCTCAGGACTCACAGCTTCTGCTGTGCTGGATTAACAATATGAAAAAGGTGAGCAGCATAAAGGAAAATTCATAGTATACGTACCCTGTCCAGTCACAGAGTAGTAATTTAGCTATATTTTCTGTGTCAGGAACACCTCCCTTTTTCAGCATACCCCTTTTCTGAGCAAGTATAGTTAAAAACTCTTCAGTGTTCCTGAAATCTGGGATACTATAGTGCATCATTACCTAGTGCAACAGAAAATGGTTCATTCAGAAAGACATACCCACTTTTCTCTTAGTTTCAGGAATAAAACAGCAAATCAAATTGGATTACAATGAGGGCGAACAAGTACGTGAAGAGCTGGTTTTCTCTTGCATGTGGAAGTAAACATTAAAAAGTAAAATGCCTACTTCATTAACAAATTCATCTGCCATTCACCCATGCTAGTGGGCATATAGAGACAGCATGCTGGTTTGTGAAAACACAGCTATCACAAAACTGAGTGGGCATTAGGGTTAGGTTAATCTACTTGAAACTAGAGTGAAATCAGAGTTGGATCTGAGGTCTTCACTGTAGTAATAGGAAGCAGTCAGAATATCTTCATTTTTCACTCTGTGATACTGTGATGAGATCTTAAAAGCAATTTTTTTAAAAAAATCAGAAAAGTTATTGGGAGAACAGACTGGCTGATAGGATCGTGGCATACTGTTTCTGCCTTCCGTTTATAAGGATGAAGGATCACACTTGGCGTTGCCACTCTGTACGG